TCTTGGAGTCTGTTTGGAGGGGAGCAGAAGGTGGAGAGTGATGCTTCTGTCAGCCACGGAACTGTAGCCATAGAGGGTGGGGGGGCTCCTGAATGGGGGCCAGCCATTCGGGAGGAATCAAATCGTAGATACGCTAAAATAACGCTACTCCTCGCATGGTGCTTTTGTTGTGTGCGCTCTTGGTCCCCTCGATACCTCAAGAGACAGGTATTTCCTGTGGTTAGCCCCACACGCCAAAAGTGAGATGGAAAGCTGCTCCCCCCTACCTCATCAGGGAAACACAGATTAGGAGACAGTGGGGTCAGCTGCACGCCCATCAGAACAGCCAAATCCAGAACACTGTCAGCACCAATGCTGGTGGGCACATGGAATGCAGGAAACTCACCCCTGTTGTGTGACTGCAAAATGACACAGCCACTTCGGAGGCAGTTTGGTTGTTTCTTACAAAACTAAACCTGCTCTTACTGTATGATCCAAGCTCCTTAGTATTTACCCAAAAGAAAATAACTCACAATTGCCCAAAGCTGGAAGCAACCAAGACATCCTTCATTAGGTAAGACAATGGAATATTATTCAGCACTAAAAAACAAATGAGCTACCAAGCCACAGTGAAAATATTCCGTGTGTCACACGACAAGAAAAAACACACTTTGTGGTATTATAATTGTAGGTACATGTCACTACATATTTATCCACAGAATGCACATCAGGAACGAATCCTAATGGATTTGGGGTGACTACTAAAATGTATTAGTTAGAGGTTCATCTGTTGTAACAAATGTCCCGCTTTGGTGGGGACATGGATAATGCATGTGTGGGGACAAAGGATATACAGAAATCTATGTACCTTCCTCTCAGTTTTTCTGTGAACCTAGAAACTGCTGTAAAACAATAAAGTCTTTTTACAAAACCAGAACGTCTAATGTCTTTGCTCTGGGGAGCGACCAGGGCATCGAGTTTTCAAGCTCCCTACTCTATCCGCACAGGGAGCATCACTCAACATCCTTGGTGTATACTACAGAGACACGCCATGACACGGACGAACCTGGAAAGCTGTGCCAGCCACTGAAGACAACACATTACGCAATTCCATTTATGTGACATTTCCAGAGAAGGCAAAGCTAGAGACAAAGCACATGCGCCTGGGGCAGGGGCTGACAACAGGTGTTACAAGGGGGCTTTTGGAGTGGGAGAATGTTCTGGAGCTGGATTTTGGTGATGGCTGCAGAACCATATACATTTATTAAAAATAATTAAGATGGGAAGGATTCTATGTGTGTCAATTACATCCCCCAAAAGTTGTTAAAAGTGAAAAGAAGAAAACCCAATTTAGGAAATTTACATTTTTTATTCTGGGTTATTAAAAAATAAAAAGCAGAACATATACTTGTGATCCCAGCACTGGGACAATGGAGGGTGGGAGAGGGGGTGCAGGAGTATTCTGAGTCCAAGGCTGGTCTTGGACTTGAGATTCTGTCTCTAAACAAAGCAAAAACTACCTACCTAAAGAATCCCCTTGCCCACTCCAAGGAGCAGTGGAGAAGCCTGGCCACATCCACCCACCTCTGGTCCTCCTCAAGAGTCTCTGTCCCTCTATCACACACACAGGAGGCCCCATTGTTGTTTTTGAGTGAATGGATGCACACTGCTAGAGTGTGCCCCATGAGTCACTGGGGTGGCCACTCTGCAGAGGTCTTTCATTTATGTCTGGTATCTTCTCTCGGTGCCAGGAAGGTCGGGGAAAACCGGACCTCTGTGATGTGCAGTGAACACTGGTGCCTAACAAAGCTGCTCAGAGAGGAGCCTGTCTGCTACCAGGTCCTCCCTTTTCCTCCCATCTCATTTAGGTCTCTGATTCAGACAGCATGGCTACAGCAAGTTCAGTTGTCCCAGCCACGGATTCTGTATCACACGGCAGCAGTTCTAGTTTTGATACACACAAGAGCCAGCGAGGTGAGCAGAATCGCCTGAGGTCACACGGCCACGCTTTGGCAGAGCCAGGCCTAGAAACTGGCTCAGCTGTTCCAAATGCAGAGCGGCCTTTGGGTCACCCTGCATGAGTCTTGAATCTCAGGGACTCGTTCTAAAGCCAGGATGGCCCTCTGTGCCCTACCCCTCCCACAGTCCCAGTGCTGCAGTGATAAGCTCTATGGGTTCAAGTCCCTGCCTGCCCCTCCAACTCCAGGATTGCTTTCACCTGACATTCCTTCCAGTGCGCCAGTCCGGAACAGAAGTGCTTGACACTGATGATCGACCAGTTTCCTAAAGGAATCCAGTTTCCTCTGCACTCACGAGAAGCTGTTAGCTGCTGGTGAGTGTCCAGGGCTGCCCTCCAGAGACAAAGCCCAGACATTGAGCAAGGGATGCCAAAGCACTTGGGCACAGAGAGGAGTCAGCTGGACTGAGGATTGAAATCAAGAGGAGTCCCTGCCAGCAATACCACCAAGCAACATCCTGTCCTGTCCTGGGGGAAAGGAGACCCCAGAAGAGAGCTCTGACACAGCTGTGCAGGGATGGAGATATGATGCCAAACTGCCAATACCTGACCCAGGGAGGATTATGCAGTAGAGAGAGCACCGACAGCCTGGAGGGTCAAGCATCCAGCCCTGGCCAGGCCTTTTGCCAGCCCTGGAGTGAGAAGCAGTTTTCTGAGGTTCTGTGAACCTCAGTTTTCTTGTTTGCAAAATGGGACCCATCACCCTTCCCCACAAGGTGGTTGCCTGAAAGGGTTTTTGGAAATCTAGGAACACCCAACCAATGTCAGGGCTGATAATTTTATCCTCTTCTCGTGTGAATATCAAGCCTCAGAGGCTACAAGCATGTAGTGACCAGCCTATGTGGGCCCAGGAAGTTGTGGATGGAAAGGAAGAAGTCTGAGCTTGGGGTGGGGACCGCAAAATTCAGGCCTGGCTTCACTGAGAACCATCTTTCATGACTTTGGAGGTGCTGTGTCACCCCAAACTTTGTCCCTTCCCCTTTCTGGGCCTTATTTTCCCCTTCTACACAATGGGAAGATTGGAGGAGGTGTCTCTAAGGACCCTTGGGCTCTGCCAGACAAACATGCCATTAGAAAGAAGCAGGGCCTGGTGTTAAGGGGATGGGGTCTCCAACTTCCTCCATCTACCTGTTCCCCACTTATTTAGAGCCTGCCAGCAAAAGCCTCTTCACTGTTTGGCAGTGAGTTGGTCCCACGGGATGTCAAGTTTCCTTTGGGCTTCTTCCTGGGGGCTGAGAGGTAGGAGATTGGAGAAGTCTTGCTTGGGAAAAGCTTGCTTTGTTTGCATCACGACCAATGGTAGGGGCCCAAAACATCCACCTTCCAACTCCCCAACAACATCCCCTTCTGCATGGACTTCACAGCTGAAAAAACTCTTTCAAACCCATCATTCTTTGGTTTTGTCAAAAACCCTACAGGGGAGTGAGACAAAGGGTTATTGTCCTTGTGTTACTTCAGGGGAGGAAGACAGCATGGAGAAGTGTGGTGGCTTCTCCAAAGTCTCACAGGCAAGGACAGAGCGCTGCTCCTCCCCATGGGAGACAAGAGCTGCAGAAAGGCAAGTTCAGAGCCAGACCTCAAGCTGGGGATTCCCAGCCCTGCTCTGCCCCACCTGTGCTACCCACACCTGATCTTCCTTCTTCCTCAGCTGGCAGGGGAGTGAGTATCCCTCATGCCTTCTGCTGAATTTGTCTGGACTCCATGGTCCATGATTTGTGTCTCCTGTGCTGCTAAGCACACCTGGATGTCTCGTTTTTGAGAGGCTCCAAGGAAAAGAGAAAGGGAAGCAAGACATACAAAGCAAATGCAGAAAAAGGGCAAGAGACCACTTTGCACTCACATGAGGGGTGACCTTTTACAGATTCCTAAGGACATGTGGAAATAGGAATTTTCAAGGGTTGTGTTGGGATTAGAAAGTGGAACAGCCTTTTTGGAGGTCAGTTGCTCTCAAATTTTTAGGGGCCTAGAAATTCCACCTTTAGAAACTCTTTGCCAAGATGCACACCGACCAGAAGGTGAAGGTGTGGGTTGTGGATGGTTCCTTTCCTTATGATGTACACGTTTGACATCACACCCCATTAAAACACAAGGTCAACCAAGGTCTCTTGGAACCATTGCAAAGCAAATAAAAAAGCAAAATCCATATGGTCCGAAGTCATTTGGGTTTTAACAAATACATCAAAAAAGTTCTATGGCAGGTGAATACCAAACTAAAAGGAGGGAATTTGAGAGAGAAAGTGGATTTGGGGGGTTGGGACAAAAATCATATACATTCTAGCACATTTTTTGACAAAAGAAAACAAAGCAACTGAGGCCAATAGGAAAAGGGGACCTTTTTGATCTAAACTAGAGAAAAGGTTAGATCAAAAAGAATTAACCTAGAAGGTAACACCCACGCACAGGAAATCAATGTGAGTCAATGCCCTGTATAGCTATCCTTATCTCAACCAGCAAAACCCCTTGTTCCTTCCTATTATTGCTTATACTCTCTCTACAACAAAATTAGAGATAAGGGCAAAATAGTTTCTGCTGGGTATTGAGGGGGGGAGCGGGAGGGGGTGGAGTGGGTGGTAAGGGAGGGGGTGGGGGCAGGGGGGAGAAATGAACCAAGCCTTGTATGCACATATGAATAATAAAAGAAAAATGAAAAAAAAAAAAACAGAACAAAACAACACATATTTGTGTGTTTGTAAGCCATTATTAAAAACAAACAATCCGAGACGACCTGGGAATCTTGGGTCCAAGCCGCCTCCTCCCCAAACTCTCCTCTAGAGAAAAAACCTATTGGCGGCACTGTGTCATCAGTAGCAGGGACAAGACCCCCTTGAAGGGAATGAAGAGGGGGCCCAGCCAGGGTGCCAGCAGGATGGAGTTCCTGCCAGTTGGGCATGCATCCCTCCAGCCTCAGCATCCCTGAGCACTCAGCATCACTCAGTGCTCAGCATCCCCGTGCAGCCCAGTGGTTCCCCATCACCCACAGCCCCACGCAGAGCCCAGGCCCTACCTCAGAGAAGCGCTGCACGTCCTGCGTGAGTGTGCCCACGCGCCGCCAGCGGTAGTGCTTCAGCAGCTTCAGGATGGCCGGGTTCACTGCATTGTCCGACGGCACCGTCCGGAAGAAATAAGGGTACTTTTTCTTATCCGCCAGCACAGGCGTGGTTGCAGCAAAAGAAAGCTGGAAGACAAGAGAGATCGTGCATTGTACTGGGGGGCCTGGCAGCTGTGAATCCATCACCCCTGACCCAACAGCCACCTGCCAGTCTCCCTTGATACACAAACGCATGGGGCCAGCGAGATACCCTTTAACCTTTTTCAGTAAGAGTAATACACCAGAATTGAAGAGAAGATTAAAAATGCAAAATGAGGAGAAAGGAGGGGGTATTAGTCAGTGATCTATCTCCTCCCAAAGGAACACCATTAGTGTTGTTTCCTACTTAACTTTCTCCTACAAACACTTAATTATCCTGTCAAAAACTCCTTGTAAACATTTTAATAGCTGCATCATAGCCTAGGATATGAACCTACCACAATATATTGAGTCATCTCTAATGGAGGGGCGAGGAGGGGCATTTAGACTGTTTAGATTGTTTCTAACTTGCTATGTTATTTGGCACATTGATGGCCATTATTGGTGGCATCTTTGCACATAGTATTGCCCCTTATGTTTCAGGGCATGTCCACCAGTCTGTGATGTCTTTATCCAGTTAAAGACAGGACAGGAGCCTTTAAAGACTCTGTACTTATTTCCAAAAAGTGTTTCTATTTTACCAGTTTGCATATCTACTAGTTAGAGATAATCAGAGGGCCAATTTCACCACACTCTTGTCAAAAGGGAATAAAACACTTTTCTATCTAATTTTATAATGAATTATCACTGGAAACTCAGAATCATTGCATTCATGGTTACACCTAATGCTGAACCTTTTTGCATGTGTTGGCTGACAAGGAGTATGTCCTATTTCAGGCATGGCTTTGTCATGTTTATTTTTGAATGGTATTCTAGTGCTTTTCTTTTCTGTTTTTTTTTTTTTTCTAGTGCTTTTCTAATTGACTTCAATGAAGACTTTTTAAAAAGTATAGCATTCAAACTCAGGCTATTATAGTTACTGCAAATGTTCTGTTTACCTTACCCTTCGGGTGCATGTGTTTTAATTTACGCTCAGTAGTCAAATCTGCCCATCTTTCTCTTTATTATTTCTTCTTTTTCTTTTAAGTGCCAGTGAGTTGTTAAATTGGATTTTAATTATCTGCACAGCTTAAATGTCACCACTTCCTCCCATCTCCTCTGATCTGTTGCGCTCCTCTCTCTCAGCCTCCTCCACAGAAGGTAGCTAGCAAGCTTTTTGATCTTTGCAGTGGAAGGGTGAAGAAGTGGCATCTCACTGCAGTTCTGATTTGCATTTATCTCCTCTCTGTGAGTGAGCCTGGGTCTCCCTTTCTACAAATTTGTAGTTCTTTCTGGAAACAGTTCTTGCCCTCTGTCCCCTTTCCTCTTTGACTCTTAGCCTTCCTTATCCATTTGTAGAAAAGTGACCTTTTATATTAAGGAAATTGGTCCTTTGTGATATAAGTTGCTAATTTTTCCTCAAGTTTATACTTTGCCTTTGATGTTGTTTACAGTGTCTTTTGCCACATAGAAGTGTGCTTTTTAATATGGTTGAATCATCATTTTTTCTCATTTACATCTGTAGGTTTTATGTCATATTTAGAAAGGCCTTTTCCTACTCTGAGATTATGAAACGACTTCTCTGTGGTTTCTGCTCTTCCTGCCTCCTTCCTTCCCTTCTCCCCTCCCCCTCCCTCTCTCCTTCTGTCTTTTGTTTCATTTTAATCTTTGATCCAAAGAGGGCATGATGGCAGTGATTACAGTCTTGGCCTGCTGGCAGCTTCCTCTGAACCCTTGCTCATTCTAGCAGCAGTGCTAGATCTGACTCCAGTCCTGTTTCAGCACCCAAAGAAACACCCTCCTGCACTAATGAGCTGCAAGTGATGCTTCTACCACTGGATCAGCACTTTCTCCCACCGACGTGGGGCAGGCAGGCAGAGATTTGTTCTTTTCCCTTCTCTGCATCAGAGGGCAGGCAGATGCTCCCTAGGACCCCTGGATCTCCTAGCATCCACTCAACAGTCCCCACAGATCCCATCAGTTGGTCTGACCAACAACAGCCCATCAGCCATTACCTGGAGCTAGAGGGGACCTGGAGAGAAACCAATATCTAAGATCTCTGGAGACAGGGACACAACAAGACTGGTAGGGGTCAAGGGCAGAATGACTATAAAAAAGGTTCTGGGTATGGGCTGGGTATGGTAGCACATAACTGTAATCTCAGTTATCTAGGAGATGGAGATAGGAGAATCTCCATCCAAGGCAGGCCCAGGCAAAAGCTTGAGATCCTACCTGAAAAATAAACTAAAAGCAAAAGGACTCAGATGTGTCTCAAGTGGTAGAGCACACACCTAGAAATTGTGAGGCCCTGAGTTCAAATCCCAGGTAACTCCCCCCAAAAAGCAATATTTTGCAAACCCTAGTACCACAAAACAACTTCAAAAACAAAACCGATTCTGATAGAATAAGTACTGATGGAAAGAGTCTACACTGAGTAAATTTCAGCTGGACACCTGGAGGAGGCTTTGCTTTCTCACGCAATGGAGTGGTGCGTGAGAAGTCGTGAGATCCTTGTGTCTGGAGCTGTGCAGTCAGAGGTGGGACCACAGCCTAGAGCGAACAGGGGCTCCAAGGTGTCTGTGAGCCCTGCCCCAAATTGTGGGGAAAGCTGTGCGGGTGTGTAAGTGCATACAGACATACACCTTTTTGCTTTTTCTGAAAAAAAAAAAAAAAGAATCCATAGCTTCCATAAAAGTCACAAAGAGCAACCTACAATCCAAACACCTGCCTGCAGATGATAACGTAGGTCCCACAGGGAGCACAAGAAACAGCAGCTTCTTATGGTCCCCTCAGGCCTGGTGTCCCTGATTCTTCTCTCAAGAGTGAAACAGCACCGCACAAGCTTTCTCTGCTCACCCGTGGAAGAGGGCACTCTGAGAAAAATCTGGAAGCTGTTATTTCAGGATACCATCACATCCCCCAAAATGCTTATCCAATACAATTTGGAAAATATTGGTTTTTCTGGTGCGATTTCTGAATCCCACTCTGGTTGCTACTTTCCCATTATTGCCCCATTAGTTCCAGGTCCACAATTAATTGTTGCTCGAGCAACCTCATATGTTTGCCCTGGAGGTAATTACAGTGGCTTCCATTCAGTGAATAAATGACCCATTGTGTTCACAATGGACTTGGAGTACAATGTGTGCCCCAGGTCTAAATCATGTTGGGTGCAAAATATTAACCGGTGCTGGCATTTTTTGCTCCATTTGAGATAATGCACACTTTGATTAGATTGCTGTGCACTTCCGTTTCTCTGGCTTTACCTTCTAAAACTTTCTTCCATGGGCACAGTGCAGGTGCTGAGTAGTCCTACTGAACTTGAGCACAGCGGGGGAGGATCTGAGACATCACTTAGCTTCGGGTTCTCTATCCTGGCCACACACTGGAATGGTAAGGGGTGACTGTAAAAAATCTGATGACTTGGTCCCACTCCAAACTAACTAGATCAGAATCTCTGGGCATACAGCCAAGCAGCAGTGTTATTTTAAATACTTTCCAGGTAAGAATGATGCCCAGTTTGAGATGAGAGCTGATGTTGCAGCTCAACAACCCTGGTATTGAATAAGCAGGGTGTAGTGCAAAAATGGGGGGTTACTGTGACATTATACACCATAGCTAGCAGGAGGTGAAATCAGGACTCGAACTCTGGCCCACAGGACTCTCAACACCAGTGCTCATTCTCAGCTAGATGGCTGCCCTCCTGCATGCTCCTTGCCCATTCCTGGGTGCTCCCCATCTGCTCCTGCATGCTTCCCTGCTTTCTTCCCCCCAGCATCCAGCAGCACCAGGGCTGCTAGTGTTAGCACTCTGGCTTGAAGACCCACGCTTCTGGGCTCCCTGCCTTATTTCGCACAACCAAATTCATTTCTGAACAGACTGTGATTGAAGTTTCCAGTTAATCTCTAACCAAGGATTTATTTCAGAGAGCATTTAAATTTTAATTTATAGCTTTGTTATATCTAGTTTTATTGCATTGTTTTTTGAAAGTTTGGCTGTACTGTGCTTTGGGAATTAATTGAGATTTTCTTTGTGGCTTTTGATATAATTGACTTCTGTAAAAGTACCATGGTGACTGGGAAAAAAAACGATGTGATCGCTAGCTGGAAAGTACAGAATTCTTTATTAGACTCTGTGTACACAGTAGATACAATGGAGCTAATTATATTATTGTCATATGTTCCATGCTTCTGTTTGCTTGATGTGGAAGGCTGAGAGCTTGGTTAATTTTTCTCTCCTGCCTCTAACCATTCCTCCTAGGATTTCAACAGGTTTTCCTGTGTAGGCTTTGGTTTTATGTTGTTTGGGGCATAAATGTTCATCACAATTACATCTTTTTCAGCAATGTATATCCTTGTCTACTGCAAATACCAGGTGATTTGTAGATATTCATAGATATTCACTGAGGATTGAAATAGTTATCAAGGTAAAATAAACCTCTGTCACTTTATTGCTTTTTGTTTTATACTGTATCTCACTAGATATTAACATTATGACCTTGCTTTATTTTTCCCTTTGCTTTCATTTGCCTGTGATAGCTTTGATTCTCCTGCTTGTGTTCTACTAGGATTATTTAAAATATGTATTTCTTGACCACAGCACAGGTATAGGTTGTGGAATGTCTGTTATTGCTATAATAAATGGCTACTCTCTCATTATGCTTCCTTTTTGTTCCCTTTGGTTACTCTTAGGTAAGACTTGTACTCATCTTCATTCTGGCTGCTGACGGAGCATCATTTGATATTCTGAAGAAGGGAAGGGACTGAAAATTTGCTGAGGCTGGCCCTATTACCTTGCCATTGCCAGAACAGCTGGGTGTAAAGGTCTTGGGCTTCTATTCCTCCCCTTTGTGACCACAAAGTGGTACAGGCAAGAAATTCGAGGCTAATAGGTCGTTGTTTGTTCGTGGTGCCTGGTTTCCATTGCTTGGATGCCTGAAGGATTTTTTTTTCTTTTATTCTTAGAATTAAAAAAAAGTTGCCAGGCTAGAGCTGAATGTGGCACTGTTGATT